GCCTTGGGCAAGTATTGGGTTTTTTTTTTTAATTAGTTTATTGTTTCTCATAAATATGAAATATTCTTTGTTTTATGAACTGTTATTTTGGTTTAGGCTCCTACTGTGGGTGGAGGGAGCACCACATATTAGAGAAAATTACCTAAAGTTGGGTGAAAAGAGAGGCCTGAGTGTTGGGTGGCCGAAGAAGGGAGGGCGGTGGAAGGAACACTCAATAGTGTTACGATTGGACAGCTCTGCACCTCCCAGTGGGACAGTGTGATAAGTAGACTGATGTCTGTTTAACACAGGCTGGTTGTTCCAAATTATTTTAAGCCCTTGGAAGATCTCAGGTTATGGCATTCACTCCGCAAACTCATTTGTTGTTGAGGACGGGGGTGTGATGAGAGATGGAGGATTAACAGAAGTTGACCTGGGCTGCTACACAAAGAGAAGGTGAGGCAGAACCTGTGAAAGTCTGCTGTGAGAACAGCTGCAGACTGGGGCAATGGGAGTCACCACGGACGGCCCTTCACAAGCGTCGCAAACTAACAACGGTTTCCTAATGAAGCCAAGGCTAAGAACCAGCTGGCAAATGGGGCCAGTACTTGTATCGCTATCTGATTAAGAAAAGACAAACAGTGCTTGTTAATGGCAGGACTCTTTATCCCTCCCTGTTTTATTTGTTATGCCTTTTTCCAAGGAGACATATCCCCATAGGTTCATATGGTCTTAAAAAATCTATGCCTGAAGCTTTGAGTTTATTGCTATCCAGACAAGTAACACCAAATTTCTGCTGAGTAAGAGTAGATTGTGAAGGAAAAGCAAAGCAGCTCCTGGAGTGTTAGCCTCAGAACATCCGGATTTATTAGAGAAGGAGATGCGCAACACAGGCGTACGTGATGGGCGGGTGCGGATGTATTCTGAGTTGACTTGATGTGTTCTGATTAATCGCCACCTGAATCCCCAGTTGATGGGACTTGTCTTGGGGCTGAGGGTGCCCTCTTTCCTAGGAAATGAGCAAGTGGAAGAATGACCTTCCAGAAGCTGTGTGTATTGATGTATAAGCGACTTCATCCTCTCGCCTTTCCCTTCCTAATTTACAGCCTTCCGTGACTGGTTTGTAGGATTTTTCAAAAGATGTGATTAGCTTTACTTGCAAGAAACTTGCAAGGGGTTTCCGGGCAATGATGTGTCAGCTATGAACTCATTCAGCTAATCTGAAGGAGAATTTTTAGAGCAGGAAGGAGCTGGATTCAGAGGTGCTGACTTGTGAAACATGGTGGTAAGTGCATTTCTAGCTAAAGGAGCCAAAACACTGTTTTCCTAATCATGCAGAGGAAAAGAGGTGACGATGGGCGAAAAGGATAAAACTAAACAACAACAAAACATGCCCTGATTTGCCCCATCCATGCCCGGGGCCCTTCTCGCTCATCGAAATTAGGAAAGCAATTGATAGGGTTGCACGCAGTGGTTAGAGGGAACATGGCTGGGGGCCTGGGACTAGAGGATGTAGCGCTGAAGGAAGAGGCAGACAGGTTTGAATAGGAGTCACATGAGCACAACACACAGTGGGCATAGAAAAGCAAAGGCTAGATTTGAAACTCCCTGCTGATTAAATCGCAGGGCAGGCGTGTGAGCACAGGCTCAGCAAGATTGGTTTCACGTCATTAGTTCATTTCCTTTCTCACTGTGGCTGTAGAGAACATGTGTTGAGTGCAAGGCACTCAGGGGAGCGTAGTTATAACCGTTCTGTCCTCACTGAGTGTTCCAGTCACTGGGGTTGCGAGACAGATGACCCCAGCACTTAGTGGCAGAAGACAGCTGTTGATGATGCTGTGGATTATGTGGATGAGGACTTCACTCAGGGCACAGCAGGGCTGGTTTGTCTTTGCATCATGGTGTCCGGGGGTCTCAGCTGAAAGAATTGAAGCCTGGTGGCTGGAGGCATCTGCAGCTTGTTTGTCTGATGGTTGATAGGGTTGGTGGTGGCTGTCAGCTGAGGGATTGGCCAAAATTCCTATACCTGGTCTCTTCATGGGAACTGGGCTTCCTCACAATATGATGGCTGGGTTCCCAGGGTGAGTGCTGGAGAGGGTGAGCCAGGCAGAAGCTGTATCTGTCTTATGACATAATCTCAGAAATCACATGGATAGCATCTATGCCGCTGTACTCCGTTGGCCAGGACCACCATGGATCCTGCCAAAACTCAAGGGGAGGGAATATCAACCCCAAATAGCAGTGGAGGAATGACAACCACAGTGAATGAAAGGCAGATATATACATGCATGTGTGTGTCTACGTATATATTTGCAAAAACAAAATCATCTTAAAATAATTATCTTTGGGAAATGCAGTCTGCCACACTTAAGAAATATATATATATAGCATATATATATATACACATTCAAAAAAAAAGAGTAAAAGAGAATTACCACAGCACAAAGTAAAAAGTGTTGTGTATGGTTTGTGATTATTTTATAAGTGATGGTCCCAAAGATCGTACCACTGGAAATATACTAATAAAAAATAACACCTGAGCACTATTTCCTAAATTTGAATCACCTGCATATCACATGACTGTTTTTACTATTGTTAACATCTGCATTACTGTTTCCTTAATTTTTTCTTAAAGTTGACAGTTTTTTATTGAAGTATAGTTTGTGTACAATATCATATAAGTTACAGGTGTGCAATATAATGATTCACAATTTTTGAAGGTTATACTCCATTTATAGTTATTATAAAGTATTGGCTGTAATCCCTGTGTTGCATAATATATCCTTGTAGCTTATTTTATACCTAATAGTTTATACTCTTATTCTCCTACCCCTAGGCTGACCCTCCCTGATTCCCCCATCTCCCTGGCAACCGCTAGTTGTCTATATCTGTGAGTCGGCTTTTTTTTTTTAATATTCTCTAGTTGTATTTTTTAGATTCCACATTATAAGTGATATCATGTAGTATTTGTCTTTCTCTGACTTATTTCACTTAGCATAATGCCCTCCAAGTCCACCAATGTTGCTACAAATGGCACAATTTCATCCTTGTTATGGCTGGAGTATTCCATTATATATACATATACACCGCATCGTCTTTCTCCATTCATTTGTTGATGGACACTTAGGTTGCTTCCATATCTGGGCAATTGTAAATAATGACCCAGTTTTTTTTTTTAACTCAAGTTTTAAAAAGCAAACTATATATTACTGCAGAAAATAAAATATATTTTTGGTCATAATTTATTTGTCACAAAGGTAACCTTAAATACAAAAAAAGTAAAAACAAAATAGTTATATACTAGACGAAGGTTCCACTTTCTGATGACAATTTTGAGGCTGAAGCAAGCCCTCTTTTTGTCAGAAATCATGTTAGCACGTGTTAGAAAGATGTTAAATCTCACTCATACAAACTGAGACTCTCCCTTTGCATAATCTGAAGCATTGAAAGAGAAGTGAAAGAGAATGACCCTGGGGAGATCAGTGATGCTCAGGGCCAGATCTGTGCACCACCCAGCAGCCTTTAGAGACCTAGCTGTATGAAAATCCTGACCCAGAATGCAAAAATGGATCCAGAATGATAAAGATTCTAGCTAGTTAGGCTTTCCTGTAGCTTCACCCAAGTTCCTGGGGTCTGTGAGGAAGACCAGCATGTAGCACAGTTGGTGCGTGTTAGTTCAGGAATGTGTGTGTAATCTGCCATTGGCCAAAGGCTGAGTCTTTTGCACCTTGGATTTATTTCATCCACCTCCCTGAAAGGTCCAGTGGGCAATAAAAGAGCTGGGCTAGCTGGCTTCTCCATGAAGTCCAGCTACCCTCGTTACGTTATTACCATTCCCCACATGCTGGTGGAATTGACTTTTTCCTTTCCTCCTGTGCGTAACTAATTCCTAGACTTTACAGGACCGCCCTAAACCCAGAACTCCCAGGCCAGTGTGTGCTTTTCAGCATGCAGGTGTCAAAACCCTGTAACATTCATTTCTAAAGTAATTGTTAGCCCCTGCTGGAGCCAGTTATACTAGGTACTAGGGATATCAGGGGATAATGAAAAATAGACACTTTCTTGGGATACAGAGAAAGGCCACTTGGGGGCAGCTATTCATCCCTAAAATCTAATCAGTTTCTTAGCAACCCCATTGCCTTGTGGTTAGAATATTCATCAGAAAACACTTCTTCCTGGGGACTTTTTCCGGTAGAGACAACTCGAGAATAAATGTGATTGTCAGGCCTTTCTTCACCTGGACCCTTTCTTTCTGGTTTTCAAGGGGTATAGAGGTCTGCTGAGGTTCGGAGGACAAGAGTCAGATATTTATCTCCAGGGAATCCAGCCTATAGCCTTTCCCGCATCATAGGACTTCCAACAGTGGTGCCTTTCTAGGAATGGGGCTGCTGTTAACAGACCTTCTTTTCCTTCTGTGTTTATAGTCTGCCGCGGTGAAGCTGTCAAAACCAGTGGCTCTGTGGACTCAGCAGGATGTCTGCAAGTGGCTGAAGAAACATTGTCCGAATCAGTATCAGATCTACAGCGAGTCATTCAAACAGCATGACATAACTGGTAAAGTATGCAGTATCCAGAACACTTCGCTCCCTCTCCCTCTCCCCGTCTCAGTGGCCTTTCCCATACCCTTAACACGAAGAAGCATCTTCCTGCTAAAATTTTCTGGCATGGGCTTACTTTGAAAGGGGTGATAAATTCCGGATCCACGCAAGCCATGCTGCTTAACAGGCATAGGTGATTGTTTCAGAGAACCAACGAGTGTCCAGCATGAACGTGTGTGGTATTCAGGGGAAGGCGTTGGAGGGGGTTGGTTCTAGAGAAACTAAGAGCGCGGCTGTCCTAGAGAAAAGAAAGGGAGTCTTTCAAACTGACTTGCTTACAGGATTCATAGGTAGATGTTCTAAGCAGAGAAGACTTGTACATATGAATCCTTGGGGGTACTAGAGGCTACCGGAGGGACAAGCGAGTGCTTTGGGTTGAGATGGGTGTGTCCATTTTACGTACTCAAATTGTGCAGAAAACTCAATTTGGAAAAAAAGTTTCTAATGTCAAATAACATTTTAAAAAACGCTGAGGTAGAGAATCAGAGCGACCAAGTTAGTCATATTTAAAGATGTGAGAAACACACAGGTGTAGCTCAAACTGAGTTAACAGAGAGTGAAATCCTCCTAATTTAAGCATAGAAATAGTCCTTAATGCACTTCTTTCCTCCTCCCAACTAGAGGTAATGGCCCATTTGAATGAAATCCTGAAGCCAGTGTCGCAACTTTGCTTAGATTCCAAATGTCTAGATTTTTTTCTTAGTCCCTTAAGTCAAAAGCAAAATCCTATACAGGGCAAGTTATTCCACCTCTGAAAGTTATCAGTCAGTTACCAACCATTTGGCTGATTGTGGTAACCTTCATCAGATTATTTCTGCCTAATGTTTCTGAATGTCTGTGTGAGAGTAATGGCAAAACATTTTTCATGATCCTATTTGAAAGCAGCGTTTATCTCTTATTAGGGGTGGGAATTCTGCGATATCCTTGAGAGCAGGGTAAGCATTTATAATGGTTTGGAGAGGATGAGCTGTACGCCCCTCAGAAACGAAGGTCTCGTGCTTCAGTGCTTCTGGAGTAAATGGCACCACTTCCTAAGGCTTTCGGCTAAGTGGCATGTTTCAGACGGCTGTCATGTTGCTTCTGATGGCACCTTGGTCTCCGTGAAACTCCTTGCTGTTGGTGAATCACCACCTTCTTAGGATCTTGGGTAAGCTGCTTAACCTAGGCAAGTTATTGAACCTCACTTCCTCATCTCCAAAATAGAGATGATAATAATAATGCCTGTGTCGGGAAGGCATTATGAGGATTAAATGAAATAATGTCAGTAAACCACCAACTCACCATTTATTGACGCCTTCTGCATGCCGACATTGTGCTGTGCTTCATGCCAGAACTCACCTGGAGGGTGTCTAAAATCTGACTCCATTCTGAGGGCAGCCTGTTTTCAGGCTAGAAAAGAAAGCAGGGGATTCTTTGGGGGCTTAAAGAACCGAGAGAGTGATTTCAGATTAAGATTTGGCCCCCATCTTTCCGACATTCATCTGTTTGAGGACTCAGAAGACCACCCTGGTCCCCTGTTCTCTGGCCCCTGCCTCTCCAAGGGTCAATGTAAACTACCCAAGTGGTCACAGATGCCAGGTAGCCAGCAAACAGCTTTCAGGACTTCAGCCAGCCTGCCACTGCCAGCCCTGGGATGCCGGCCCCTGCGGGAATCCTAGTACCCCTGTAGGCTCTGATAAACTGGGCAATGAGGATTGTGGAAAATCGTGTCACGTGGTGGCAGAGCCAACCTCAACAGCTGATGGGGACAGTAGCGTGACTCAGGGTGCCGGCGGGGCGGTGGTTACAAGCGCCGGGTCAAAGCCCAGGCCTGGAGCCCAGCTGTGGGATTCTGGGACTTGGTGCACTTGAGCGTTCTCCACCTGTAAGTAAATAGGAGATGATAATAGCAGCCGCCTCACTGTGTTGCTGGGGTTCACGGTCGTAGTAAGCGTGCGTGAGTGTTAGCTGCTGCTCTTTTCCTAAGTGCTGCTCTGCTTTCTGCGAAAACAAGCCACACACGTAAACAGTATTGAATTCATCCACCTTTATTATCCTAACAATTGAGACCTAAGCACCTAAGGGTGTAGGGGAGGGGCGGAAGTCTGGGCTGGTAAGTAGCCTGTGCTTTCTGCAAGGCTGCAGTAAAGATGTTCCTGGTTCACTTATGTATGCTTAGGTTCTCTGTAGTACGGCCGCTCATTTATTTGTCTTAAAGCAAGCATCTCCAGTGTCATGCTCAGCGAGGAAGCGTATTATCTCTGTAACAGATAAACAGTCCCTTAATTTAGAAGCCCATGGTACTGTGATGATAAATAAAAAAGACTTATATTGAATGGAGAGACGGATAAGGGAAAAAAAGATTGGCTACACTTCAATAAAAAATAAGAATTAATTTTTTTAAATGAGCTTTCTGATCATAAACCTGAGGTAAATCCTCCCCCATCCCTGTCCTCCACCCCCAGCCTCTGACAGGTAATAACTGTGCAACATCGCATCAGCTGGTTTCAAGTTAGCGATACCAGGATAATATTTATCTTGAAGGGTTTTGGGGAAGATTAAAGGGGATGATGCATGTGAAGGGTTTAGCTTAATGCCTGACACATAGTGGACGTTTATCCCTTTAGCAAGTATTTATGGAGAGTCTACCCTGCACCAGGTTTGGGGAATACAGCAATAAATAAAATGGTCAGTGCCCTGTGTAGGGAAAAAATTGTGCTTCTGGAGAAAACTGTGCATCCTCAATAGCACATACTTTTTGGGTTATCTAATTCTGATTCTACGAAGCTGTCGTACCACCCTGTAAGTTGTAGGTAACTGATAGCAGTATAAAATAATTCCTGTTGTCGATGTGTAAATTCTCTCCCACAGAGATGCAGTCGAGTTCCCTAGCCACTGTGGAAAAGGTGCGCTTTGCCTCCCATTCATGTTTTCCTTTCACCCTTCCTGGTCTAAAAATGTGTCTGCTGTTTGGATTCTCCTTTGAGTTGGTTGTAACTAACCTTACCGGTTTTCACAAAACCTTAAATAGGTGTTTGTTTTTGTATTCGATGAAGAGTCATGATTTTTAAATTTTTTGAAAATGACCCTGTGACCTCGGTAGTTGTTCGATTTTTCTAAAATTTGCTCTAGGCGGTGATTCCACTATATTAATATTTTTTCTGCTGCTTTTGTTTGAAAGGCATTAGATTCTAAACAAACTGCCCCCCACCACCCCAGTTTCCCCAAAGTCTAAGAAAACTTAAGGCACCAGCATTCAAAGGCACCTTCTGCAGATTTCCTATTCGAATTCCCGAGAATTTCATTGCGTCCAGAAGGCACCTGCTATTTTGGGGGCAGATGTGTTTAATCAGAAGAGAAGCTACTAGTGGTAACTCCCTGCAGACACGCTCTTAGCAGGCGGAAGATGGCTTGAGCACCTGAGAGGCATTAGGATAGACAGATTTAAATCATCAGATTAGGCTTGGAGGAAAGAGATGTGTCTATTTTCCTGTGCTTGCAGGAGTCTTTCCCTAGCTTTCTGAGGCCAGGCTTGGCATGCTGATGAAGCAGCTCTGCCGGGGCCAGGTGTAAGCTCACAGGCAACTCTCCGAGTCTCTTTTATGCACAGTTAAGAATCCTTTCAGGTTGGAGGCGACTGCAGCCCCTGGCTGTGCCTGGGATTCTTCCTGTGGTGGTTGCTAAAGTCAACTCATTTCCTTCAGCATCCCGCCCTCCGTCTGCAAAAGGTTCTTTTCCCGGCCAACTTGAAAGACTTATTTTCATGGGTGAAGCACTCAGAGCTCCCCAGAATACAAAGTGGATTTTTAAAAGCTATTTTTAATGTGTAAAAGGGCTCCACGTGGCCTGCATCGTGGAACAGCAGTGGGGCTCTTTTAGGTGTCTGTAGGAGTAAGCAGTTATCGTGTGAGTGTCCCTGCACGTGGTTAGTACTGATTGTCAGTGGTCTTCTACAGAATAGCTGAATACTTCTGGTTCTTTCTCTTTCTTTTCCTTTCTTTCTTTCTTTTTTTTTTTTTTTAACGAAGATACTGTGGATTGATCCAAGGAACTTGTGCATTCTATGCACATGCTCTACCACTGAGCTATTCCCCTCCCCCCACCATATCTGGTTCCTTTTGTGCATCACCCACTGCCCATTTGTACCTCTTTCCCCTTTTCAAAATGTTCTGCTTGGATGTAGCACCCTGAAATTTGGCAGTTCTTCTTATGCCACCGAGTAAAGGGGGAATCTCTTTACCTTTTTCCAAACCTCTGGATTGTGGGCTCTGTGCATTTGCTAACATGTATCCTTCTGCTTTTGTCTTCCTAGTCTTTTTATTGTGGTTGGAGTTACCCATTGAGACCAATGCGGCATGTGGTTCACAAGTGTCAAAAGAAGTGGCATGGTTGTTTTATGGGCTACACCTGTGCAAACACTGCTTTGTGGGGTCCAGTGCAGCCCAGTAACTGTGGGCTTACTGAACTACCACGGTGCCTCGTCCATGCATTTGCTGGTCTTTACTGGTTTTCCCTCTGAACAGTGTGTTCTTCTTTTGTATCCCTTTGTATTTTGTTATGTTTCTCTTTTTCAAGAACTACTCTATGGCTTTAATTGAATCTCAAGCATTTTATATCTACATAGTAAAGTTCTGACATCATTTGGGCCTAAGTTGTTTTTCATAAGTTAGTTTTCCAATAGCAGCGTTTATTCTTCATTTTTAACCCCGTTTGATAGAAAGCTTACTAACATCACTTTTGTGCTCCTCGGCGTTCTTAAACCAAGGTGGCTGGCTTTGGCTGTCTTAATGATTCATGGTAATAGACTTCGGAACGTTGCAAGGGACTTCAGGAGTCATCCCAGGCTTTGTGGGGTCAGTTTAAAAACACACCTTTCAATCAGAAGTATGAGTGCAGATCACAACACCAGCTTCATTCCTGATAAAGCTCTTCTGGAGATTGTCATTTAGGTCTTCAGACGAATTGGTTTGCTGAGAATATTCTCCTTCTAAACTAGGCTTTCTGGTCGCTGACGCAGCTGGGAGCTGCCCCTCTAACCTCATGAAAGAAAGCAGACTCCCTCAGGCACACAGGTCACAAGGCAGGACAGAACATGAGTCTGGGCTGAGCAAACCCACTTCCTGCTTCCACGGGCACCATACAGAGGGGAGGAGAGAGGCCAGGAGCACTGGTCAGGGAAGTTCTTCCAGGAGGAAAGAGAGCGTGGGGGGTGAGTGCCCCACTGCCAGTTCCTCAGATGTCTCCCTGTGTGTCCTTTCCGAAGCCTCTGCGAGATGCCCAGCCAGCCTTTGCTCAGACACCCCCAGGGATGAGCATTCATAATTTTTAAAAGCAGACTGCTTTTTGGGGGGTCTATTTTGGATGACAGTTGTGTTTTTTCTTATTCCCTCCTGCTCTTAGCTACAGTGCTCTCAAACACCATGCCCTTTTCTACTGTCCTCAGACCCACCCGTTTACCTGGTTAATCCCAACTTCCTTTCAGGCTTTAGTTCAGATACCACCTCCTACAAAAGCCTTTCTTACTCCTCCTCACCTGGAGTGAGTAACCCACCCTGTAGCTCCCAGGATAAAGCCCTACGGTCCGACCTGTCACATTAAGTTGATAGTTGAAAAAATTATTAGAAAGTTCTGCTGAGATTTAGCTGAACCCCCCCCCCCCAGATCTTGTTTAGGTTCCTGGGTTAGAAACCTTTACTGAAGGAAGCCCTCGATGACTGTCCCCAAGTCCAGATTCTTGTGCCAGGCCTCAGGGAGACAGGGTGCTTCCTCCATCCTTTCCTTCATGCCAGTGGCCTGTTGAGCTGGTGTCGCAAATGCCTCCTCCCAAGTCCTTCCTTCCTCTCTGGTTTCTGCTACACTGAGAAGTTAGAGCCTGCCCGATGGGACTTCCCTCCAGTTGTTTACCATCCGTCACAGCTGCCTTCTTCTTGTTTCAGAAAGCATGCCTGCACTTCCTTCTGCAGACAGCCTTTTCCGCCTCTGCTTTAACCAGACAACCCGTATACCTTCTGGATATTGGCTTCCTCGGTTACAGCCATCCTCTCATCTTCAGTCTCGCTGCACCGACTCCCTCCTTTCTCTCTAAATACAGTTGACCCTTGAACAAAGTGGATTTGAACTGCACAGTTCCACTTAGATGCAGGTATTTATCAGTAGTAAACACAACAGCGCTACACAGTCCATTGAATCTGCAGGTTCAGAGGAACCATGGATGTAGAAGGTTAATTATGTACTATATGCCGGATTAACCTCCCCCGGCCTCCCGCCGGATTGTTCAGGGGTCAACCATAGTTTCATTCTAGCCTCTAACTGCTCCCTTTCTATTTATATTATTTATTTTTTAAATCGGTTAATTCATTAATTTTTTTAAAATGTATGTAGCCACTACCACATGCCAGGCAGAAAACTACACCCAAGAAGTTCAGAATATGCACACTTTCCAATTCAGGAGGATTATTCACCATGATGTACTATACGCCAGGGCACAAGTCAGCCTCTGTAAATTTCAAAAAACTGAAGTAGCCCAGGGTGCGTCCTCGGGCCAAAACAGAGTTAAATTAGAAGTCATTAAAAAAAAAATGATCTATGAATAACCGAAAAAAGTCATTACTAAGATAACAAGAAAATCCCAAATATTTAGAAACTTAACACACATTCATGTTAACCACATGCTTAAAAGGGGAAAAATCGCAAGAGAAATTAGAAAATATTTTGAACTGGATGATAATAGAAACATTAATATTTCAGACATTTGTGCAGTACAGCTACAGTAGAACTTAGAGGAAAATTATAGCATTAAAGGCCAGTATTAGAGAAGAAAGAAGAAAGACTTGAAATCAATGGATTAAATTTTTACCATAAGAAGTAGAAAAGGAAGAATACTAATCTCAAAGAGCTGGAATCAATGAGACAGGAAACATACAATAAAGAAAATCAACAAAAGTAAAGTTAATTCTTTGAAAAGGTCAACAAAGCTGATAAACATCTAGCCAGACTCAACAAGAGAAAAAAAGACAGGCTCAAGTGAGAAATTGGGTACATCACTAAGTTTTCTACATGCATTGAAAGATAAGAAAATATTATGAGAAGGTGTATGCCCGTATACTTAGATGAAATGGACTAATTCCTTAAAAACCATAACAAAACTGATTTAAGAAAGCTGGAAAACCTAAATAACCACATGTCTCTTAATAAATTAAACTTTTGATCAGAACTTCCCATGAAGAAAACTTCACCAAAGACTTTTTCCAGTGAACTAAAGCAGTCAAGAATTAGTAATCAAACTTACGCAAATATTTTCAGAGAATAGAGAAAGGGGAGAGTACTTCCAAACGCATTTTATGAGACCAGAGTAACCCTGGTATCAAAACCTGAGAAAGGTATTACAAGAATGATACAGTATAGATCAATATCCTTCATGAACATACACCTAAAGAAGTTTGAGAAAATACAAGCAGGTTGACTCTAGCAGGAGACAAAAGGGTGTTGCATCATAGAAATGCAAGGTTGTTTCCATTTTCAAAATCAGTCGTTGTGGTCGATCCCTTTAACAGAGTAAATGAAGACCGTCAGATCATCTCACTAGATGCAGAAGGCTTCTGATTTCAGCTCTAATATGTAAAGAGCATGGATGTCATCACTCTGATTCTCACAAGAAAAAGCTGGACAAACTGAAAATCAGAGTGGCGGGGTTTTGTTTTGTTTTGTTTTGGACCCATCAGAGAACTGATGTCACAATGCAAGTCACCACCCTGAAACCTGGAGAGTAGGGCACGTTCAGGAGATACAGCCCTGAAGACCTGCTTAGCCGGAGCAGGGACCAGCCCAATAATAATGACACAAGATTTGGACACGTCACAAAGACGACAGAAGAATGGCCAGCAAGCGCATGAAATCGTGCTCAGCAATATTACATCATCAGGAAAGTGCAAATAAAACCCCAGCGAGTTTATACACAGTAGAATGGCTAAAATTCAAAGGATTGGCAATACACCAAGTACTGTTAAAGGTAGAGCAACTGGGTCTCTTTTACATCGTTCTTGTAAATACAGTGCCACCTGATTCAAAAACTACATTTCTTACACAGTTAATCACATTCTCGTTAGACGATCCTGCAGTTCCACTCTGAGGTATTTACCCAAGAGAATTGGAAACATACGTTCATAAAAATTCCCGTCCGCTAATACCTCAAAGAGCTTTCCTCAGACAAAAATTCTGAACAACCTTTAGGCCCATCAAGAGTAGAATGGATAAACAAACTGTGCTATATTCACACGGAAAACAATACAGGACAATGGAAAGGAACCAACTACTGATGCATGTGACGACATGAATGAACCTCACGTTGCACTCAGTGAAAGAATACACAGAAGAATACACACGGTGTGATTCCAATCATATGAAATTCTAAAACAAAAAATTAACCGACAGTGACTAATGTGATGGCAGTCAGATCAGTGGTTGCTTGGAGTTGGGAGTGGGTAGGAGGGAGATTGATTATAAACAGGAGCAAAGGAACTTTCCGTGGTGATGAAAATGCTTTGTATCTTTGTCAAAGTTATCTACTTGGCACCTCATATGTGTGAAATTTATAGTAAGTAAATTATATCTCAATAAAGTTGGTTTTTAAAAGCTTGTGTGCTTCCCAGATTTTCTAAAATGGGGATAATATTTTTTAAAGGGAAAAAATGAAACTGTCATCCCACGTCTTTCCATAATGGCTATAGGATCATTTAGATTAAAGATGATAGATGGATAAATAGATAGATATGGTTTTATATGAATTTATCTATAGTGTATGGTTATATATAAAGAGATTGGGTTTGAAAGTCCACTTTATGCATTCTTCTCTGTAAGAATAATCTGAAGTTACCAGAACATTCTTATAACAAAAGGTGTAGTTTTGTCAGTTGCTGGAAGATTTACTGCTGATGAAAGGAGAGCAGTTCTATTGTCTTATTGAGATTCTGCATGTCTGAGCCTTACCTGTGCATCCAAGACTTGGATTTCACAGATGAGTGAAATTTCAGGAAATAATTATTGCAGTAGCATGTAGCTGCCACTTTTGTATTTCAGTCACTAATAGTTTTTTTAAATTGAAAACTACCCTCACCACCACTTTATAAACCAAAGGAATTTTAACCAAAAAAAGAAAAAAAAAGAAAAAACTCATGATTTAAAAATGGAATATGTTTTACTTTAAGAAAAACATAACGTTGTTTGTATTTCTCCCGTTTTCATCACAGAGCAGTGCCGCTTTGTAAGCTTGCACAAGGAAAGCACTGCTCATGGGGGACATATAGTGATGTTCTAAATACATCATTTATTTAATATTGGAGACGGTATTTGGCAGGATAAGAGCAGAAGTTGTCACCAAGTGAACTATTCGTTGTTGCGGAGATCAGAACTAGAACAGAAGGAATATTCCCTTTTTTTAACCAGTAGGATAGACTTAAATATTACCGCCCCCCACCGTTCTTCTATCACCCACTGACTGCCCACTGCAGAATTATTACAGTCGACTCCTCACAGGTGGGAGGATTATTATGGTGACCTGATTCTGTTATCTCTTGAATGGTCTGCCCCTCCCCTCAGCTCACCACTTTTATAGGTTTGTTTTTTTGTTTGGTTTGGTTTGGTTTAATGGAGGCACTGGGGATTGAACCCAGGACCTCATGCCTGCTAAGCATATGCTCTACCACTGAGCTATTACCCTCCCCACTATAGGTTTCATAGTTTGGGAAGCTGAGACTGAAGGGAAAGGTGTGTCTAGGTCCCAAGGCCAGGAAATGGAGAGCTGGGGTCTGGAGCTAGCTTCCTAAACCCATATCCCAGTGCGTCTCTCACGCGCAAGGTACCCTTTTCCCAGCCAGCACCAGGTAGCCAGACCCACACCAAAGGCTTCTGGGACCTGAGAATTGGCAGTGCCCCACCAGAAGGAACATTCTTACCAAAGCTATAACCCTGGAGCAGTCCTGCTTTTAGAAAACCCCTGAAATCTTGCATAACGCCTATCATTTCTTGGAGGCTTTCTCTGTGCGAGAAGCTCTGCTGAAATCTGTCCCCCATCAAGTCCCTGGAACTGTGTCTGGAGCCGTTCAGTGCTAACGGGTTAGTAGCCCTCGGTAGTCTTGCAAGCTGCTCCAGGGGAGGAAACCCAGAGCTGAGTGGGTGACTCAGCTGCTTAACAGCAGCAGGACCTACCCCCCGGGCTTGCTGGGAGGTGGGAGGAGGTGGAGCACACTTAGAACAGTGCTGGCACTTTGTAGGGGCTCAATACTGTCATGTGGCATCCTCACCATTTGTCTGTGTTTAGTGAGCTAGAAGCATGTAATGAGCACCACCGCGGGCCATGCACTGTGCTAGCCACAGTGAGAGGGAGGGGCTGGGAACATTGGTTCCATGACATGTCAGACTGGGAGGGACCTCCTCCCGCCTCCTGTTGTTCACGTGAGTACACAGAGGCCCGGAGCTGAACTGAGTCGTGTGAGGGCACACAGCTTCTTGGATTACCAGGAAATGTTCAAAGCTGGGTCACATTGATATGGCAGAACAGGAGACCGATTCTTAGGAAAAGTCCAGCAGGGTGCCTCACTTAGAAGTAATCAGAGTGGATACCTGAAACGGGCTCCCTTTCAGTGAGCGTGTTTTTCCACTCCAACTCCAGGAACAGGGAATGTTTTACAGCCACCAATGCGATCTCAGTCTCAGTCTCATACTTCCTTACTTTCAGCCAGACCCAGCTTTTCCTTCCCTTCCCCCTCTTTATTCCACCTTCCCAGTACCCTATGAGAAGGTCACATTATGCTAAATCAAATATGATCGAAGGTCTAACTTCCTTTGCTCCTTTAGTTGGAACACTGAGCTTTTTACTCTTTCAGAGAAATTAAATCAATGAAGCACGTTCTGTCTTGAAAAGTCCCCGTTTGCTCTTCAGCTTCTGTATCCATTTGATTCCTTTTCGGCTGATGGCTTTGTTAATAATTCTGTCAGTTTGTCTTTGTTTTGCTTTTTGCGTTTTGGGGACGTGCGAAAGTCAGATTGCAGAGTTGGAGATCCCCTCCCCCTCGTTTTGCTCCCAATCCCTGTTTGAAAATTAACATATTGTGTACTCTCTCCCTGCCAAGGCAGGTTTGCCATCCTCACCAAGCCCAGGCTGTACGGGCAGGACCTCATCACTGTGCTCTGCTTGGGGGTTAGAATCTATGCCTTTGTAGATGTCATCTGCTTAGTGGACCGATGACTCTCTTCCTTCAGACGGCACTGTTCACGGTGATGAGCGTGATGCCATAGGTCATTTATGGGGCGAACTGAAGCCCAAACTCGGCTTTGATTTTATTTAAGAACTTCTAGCACTGTTGGATGAAATGCCACTGTCCTCAAGAGGTCTTGGCCATCATTGCAAGCCACCTGTGTTTGGACTCTCGTGTTCCTCATTCAGAGTCTCATTAGATACATTTTTCAATTCCCATATTAACTTTAGGGTAATGTGGCCGCTAAGTGCTCCTGACAAACTGTATGCCTTGGATAGTTATGAAAGATTAGAGAAAGCATGGACTGTGGAGACCTGTGATGGGGTCCTCTCCACTGATGATTCACTGTGGGTGACCTTGGCCAAGTCTGTTTAACCTCTCTAAGCCTCAGTTTCCCTTTCCCTAAAATATAATTACAGTGATATGTAGCTTACAAACTTGGTGTTAGTTGTTATTATTAAAGTGTATGTGTGTGTGTGTGTATCGATATATATACAAATGTGTATTTTTTGTAATTTTTGTTTCATTGTTTGTAAAAGTATCTTAGTTCTCTAATTAGGGCCCTAAAAACTTACCAACTTCAGTTTCCCCAGCCCACTAAAATTTTGCTTTGCCCCATGCATTTGTGAGTAGTGCTAATTGTTGTAAATAAACATCAACTTTTCTCCCAAACACTTAGCATCAAATACTCCCTAGACATTTCTCTAGTAACTCAGAGTGTAAAGAATTCAGAAGATTTGATTCTTGCAATTAAGAAAATTATCATCATGTGGGGAAAACTATATATTATTAAAATTTTGTATTGAGTGTTTGCATGCCAGGCACTCCAGTAAGTATTTTGCATATATTAATTTTACTTCACAATAACCCCATAAGGTAATATTATTATTCCCATTTTACAAATGAGGAAAATAAGGCTCAAAAACTTAGGTACTTTGTCTTATGTCATTCAAGCCTAAAAGAGACAAAGTCAAGGTTTTAACTCATAGTCATCTGAATCCAAAGCTCATGTTTTGACCTCTCTGCTGTGAAAGATAGCATCCTACAAGTGAATGATACAGAAAATAAATATGAGGGTTAGTACCAAGGAGAACATGAGGAGGAACTCGTATCTGTGAGTCTGGTTTATTAGGAAGTCTGCTTGGAGGAGGCTAAATTTATTTCGTGTAAAATTTTAGAAGGGATATTCCTTGAAATATCAAGTTGTATTTATCTATTTTGTTTGTCCCTGAGAGAATTTTAGAAGAAAATATAATGGCTTTTGAGCCACAGACCTCACCACTCCCTATTGCCTCAGACCCTGCCTCTTCTTATGTTCATGTTAACACCCACCTAAGCCTGGAAGTATTCGGGTTTCTGAATCCTGAGGAGGGAACAGTGATGGAGGTGGAGATAGAAGAGTAGATTGAGAGCTACATGAGAGAAGGCATGAGTCTCAGGCTAAGGAAATCAGAGTTTCCACTCTTGAGTGTCATTCAACAGCCATTAATGGTAGAGCATCTTTAATGATGAGTGAAGTGACCAGCTCAAAGCACTTTGGAAAAAAAATCGAATGTGCAGATGAGAGATACCACCAATGCGTGAGCTGTTGGCCCGGGTGGGTCCTAAAGCTATTGGATAATTCCTTCACCGATCTCTAGCTTTTTCCCTTTCCTGGTCCCCACAGGTGGTTCCACACCTAGCTCCCTTTCCACAAAGCCCCCATCCCTCTTGTTACTCTGAAAGTAGAGATTAGCAGTGATCAATTTCTTTAACATCCCTACCTGCAATATTATCTGTGTTTTTACCTCTTCTTAACTGTTTCCTTTGTCTCTGAGGAGAAAATCTCTCCCCCAGGACCAGTACCCTAACCCGGGCCCTTCTTCCTGCCTACATGTCCCCCTCCCCCCAGAATTTGGTTCATCTGTTCTCCCCTTTCTTCTGGGTCTTCTGGAGACTTTCTGTCTCCACTTTTGCATTTCAGTTTGAAAACATGCTGTATCCTGTCTGCATTCCCTCCTCGTGAGTCTTACTGTCATTTCTGTGGTCTAGGTTTCCAGTCTTTCTCCTGAGCAATCTCCTGTGATCCTCCTTTCTGGTTTTCTAGGAAACCCTTTTTTTTTTTTTTTGTCGTTTTAAACCACATTTGACCAGGTCACTTTCTGCATTTAAAATAAAATTGTGCGTATATATATACACACATATACATATATACATATATATGTATATATATGGATATGTATGTGTGTGTACATATGTGTAAATAAAATTCGCTGGCTAAAGTCCAAATTCTTAAGCTTGGCATAAACATTCCTCATTTTCATTTTAGCCATTCTTTGTGTCCATCGTTTCCCAAGACTGCAGCAGACCACTCTCACTCTTGTCCCAATAGTCACCTGGTGGACATTTAGTCATTTTCA